CCCCATTTACATGGCTTATTAAAAAGGGTTACTGTAAAACTAAGTAACAGGGCTTTCAGGCCTCTGGTTTAAATTATTATTAAAAAAATTTAAAAAGCTAAAACAGTATACACAGTGGTCAGATTAATTGTAAGATAATTGGAGAACTGTACAATTCAACCAAACACCACAGCAAAGGAAGTGCTATTAAGAACAGAATGTTTTCAATTCCATTAATTTTTTTAACAAAATATATTTTTCAAAATTATTTATTGTTTTGTACCTTTTTGTTACCCGTACAAACCATGAAAACTGATCAGCCTTTACTAGATCCCAATGTTTTGTGAACTCTTCAACCCTATATGTGTAGGGTACCACCATGTCTTCATTCCTCATCTAGTCTTGAGTATTGCCTCTTTTAAATGAACATGAGCTTTCCTGTGGTTTCTCAATTGGAATCTTTCTCCTTGCTTTGTTAATCACTGTGTGAGAGAGACCCCCCCCCCCCCCTTTTGTATCTTGACTGCACATGATGGTAGGAAAGGATAAGGCACTATAGGTGGAAGACTTTCAACTCAAAATCAGTATGAGGAAATAAGAGAAGAGGAGAACAAAGAAAGGCAACATCTTTTTAAATGCTGCTTCTCTCTCGGAAAGAGCTTGAACTTGTTTTGACCTTTTAATTGGATTAAGGATTTTGCTGCCTACGGAAGAATAATCATAAAGAGGGAATTTTTTATAAGTCTGTCAAAAAACTTGTTTGCTGGGAGGACTTCAAATTCACAAGGCCCCCTATTGCAGCTTGAATTGTCTTTTGTGAGAGGCTTTTTCAAACATTACAATTGCACATTTTCAGGAGTCTACCAGCTGCACATAGATTATCCTGATGTGTTGTTGCCATGCTGTGTGAACAAAGGCAACATGCACATACAGCTCTGGTACACACAAGCTCTCCAGAAACAGGAAACCAGCCAGGGAGGCAGTGGGGCCCTTGGACGACCAAGGGGTAAAAGGAGTATTGAAGGATGATAGGGAAATGGCTGAGAAGCTAAATGCATTTTTTGCCTCTGTCTTCACTGTGGAAGATGAGAAGTGCTTGCCCACTCCAGAACCACTGATTTCAGGAGGGGTGTTGGAAGACCTGAGTCAGATTGAGGTGATGAGAGAGGAGGTCCTAAAACTGATAGACAACTTAAAAACTGATAAATCACCAGGCCCAGATGGCATACATCCGAGAGTTCTGAAAGAACTCAAATGTGAACTTGTAGATCTCCTGACAAAGATATGTAATCTTTCCTTAAAATCTGCCTCCATTCCTGAGGATTGGAAGGTAGCTAATGTCACTCCCATCTTTAAAAAGGGTTCCAGGGGAGATCCGGGAAATTACAGGCCAGTCAGTCTGATGTCGATACCGGGTAAATTGGTGGAAACCATTATTAAGGAAAGAATTAGTAGGCACATAGATGAACAAAACCTATTGAGGCAGACTCAGCACGGTTTCTGTAAGGGAAGATCTTGTCTCACTAACCTGTTAGTGTTCTTTGAGGGGGTGAACAAACATGTGGACAAGGGGGATCCAATAGATATTATTTACCTTGACTTCCAGAAAGCTTTTGATAAAGTTCCTCATCAAAGGCTCCTAAGTAAGCTCAAAAATCATGGGATAGAAGGACAAGTCCTTTTATGGATCAAAAACTGGCTAGTTCATAGAAAACAGAGAGTGAGTGTAGGTGGGCAATTTTCTCAGTGGAGGGTGGTAAGCAGTGGGGTACCGCAGGGATCAGTACTTGGTCCACTGCTTTTTAACTTGTTCATTAATGATTTGGAGATGGGAGTAAGCAGTGAAGTGGCTAAATTTGCGGATGATACAAAGTTGTTCAGGGTGGTGAAAACCAGTGAGGATTGTGAGGCACTCCAAGGGGATCTGTCAAGGATGGGCGAGTGGGCGTCAACATGGCAAATGGGGTTCAATGTGGCCAAGTGCAAGGTGATGCACATTGGAGCCAAAAATCCTAAATATAAATACACATTGATGGGGTCTGAACTGGCAGAGACTGAGCAAGAGAGAGATCTTGGAGTTGTAGTGGATAACTCACTGAAAATGTCGAGACAGTGTGTGACTGCAATAAAGAAGGCCAATGCTATGCTGGGGATTATTAGGAAGGGTATTGAAAACAGATCAGCCAATATAATAATGCCCCTATATAAATCAATGGTGAGACCTCATTTGGAATACTGTGTGCAGTTCTGGGCACCACACCTTAAAAAGGATATTATAGCTTTGGAAAAAGTGCAGAAAAGGGCAACTCGAATGATAAAAGGGTTGGAACACTTTCCCTATGAGGAAAGGTTAAAGCGCTTAGGGCTCTTTAGCTTGGAGAAAAGACGACTGAGGGGTGACATGATCGAGGTTTATAAGATTATGCATGGGAAAGAGCAGGTAAAGAAAGAGGTACTTTTCTCCCTTTCTCACAATACAAGAACTCGTGGGCACTCCATGAAACTGCAGAGCGGTCGGGTTAGAACGGATAAAAGGAAGTACTTCTTCACCCAAAGAGTGATTAACACATGGAATTCACTGCCACAGGAAGTGGTGGGTGCTACAAGCATGGACGGCTTCAAAAGGGAATTAGATAAGCATATGGAGCAGAGGTCCATCAGTGGCTATTAGCCACAAGGTATACCTAGGGGCTCTGGGGCAAGTGATGCTCTGTCTTCTTGGTGCTTGGGGGGGGGGGTCAACAGTGGGAGGGCTTCTAATGTCCTGGCCCCACTGCTGGACCTCCTGATGGCACTGGTATTTCTGGCCACTGTGTGACACAGAGTGTTGGACTGGATGGGCCTTTGGCCTGATCCAACATTGGCGTCTCTTATGTTCTTATGTTCCATTGAATTTATCAGGGATCATGCTAACACATACCAAGGCTCAACATGCATGGTAAATACACATTGCTCCCATTTGCACCTCATGCCAGCCACACATATTGGGAAGATCACAGGTAGCATGCACTCTTTATACACATAGTTGGTATGCTCCTGGTATGTACAATTGTAATGTCTGGAAAAGATTATGCAAGAACATGTGTGACTGTAACTACAGCAAATCAGAAAATTTTGATGGAATTCCAAAGATCGTGTAAATGAAAACATCAATCTGGAAGTGCTTTTATACTCAAACAACTTCCTCGCTGGAGCTGTCTTTTCAGGCAGGAAATTTAACATTCAAATCAAATGTGGTGCTTTGGCTAATAGTTTGGAATCAAGTGCAATATCTAACCAGTGTTTCCAGAAGAGCACAAACTAGGGCATCCAGAGATGAGCAACATGCCTCAGACTCTTGCTTCAGAACATTGCAAATTAGTGGCCAACTGCCCATTGCCAGTCACTGAAAACAAGCAAACCTTTCATTAGGATCTGTTTAAGTGTTTATGTAGGAGGGCCACATTTACACAGTCTGATGTACACCTGGCCTTTTTGTTCCTCTGTAGGAGAAAAGGGTGTCTTTAAGCCTCCCAGTCACTGCCCTCCTGAGTGAACTTACACCTAGTAATCATGTTCTTTCAGTGTAGGAATACTTGACAACCCACCAGTTAAAACAGCACATATATAGGTATCCAAATAAAGGTAAGAGAAAAGGCAGAAGCAAGATCTTGCTCACTTCAGGGTGTTCGTTTCATAATGTCTTCAACCTTTAAGTTATGATTCAGTTCTGACCCTCTGTTGTTATAAGTTTCCATAATTCTAGTGGTATCAGAAAAAAACAGATCAGCAAATATTTAATGTGATTTGTACAGGTAAATTTATGCTGTTCAAGCAACTGGTTGGTTATGCATAACAACTAAAGCTTCTGGCTGTGTTTTGGCCAGTTTCAGACGCTGAGCTGCAGACCGGAAGGTCTGTAGTTCAGCAGTTCGAGACCCTAGTGCTGCATGACGGAGTGAGCGCCTGTCTCTGGCCCCAGCTCCTGGCAACCTAGCAGTTCGAAAGTAAGACATTGCAAGTAGATGGGGAAGGTAACAGTGTTCCGTGCGCCTCGGCGTCTAGTCATGCTGGTCACATGACCACGGAAATGTCTTTGGACAGTGCTGGCTCTTTGGCTTCGAAATGGAGATGAGCACTGCCCCCTAGAGTCGGACTCGACTGACATTCGAGCAAGGGAAACCTTTACCTTTAAGCCCACCAACCTCAATGGACTTAGTGCATAACTGCGCTTAGGGAGGCACTTTCTTTTTGGTGATTCAAATAGTGACTCCCTCCATTGTGCTGCGGAAGCTCAGTTGGGCTGTTGTGTTTTTGATTATAGTCACTGCCTTAGATTCTAAGTCTTGCTTCCACTTATGTGGCACCCTTTTTGCTGTGGGTATGGTGCTAGGAGCTTCTGCTCACATAAGACCAGTGCCTTTCAGTGAGTCAAAAAAGCACTTAAAACCACAGGAAAGAACTGCACAGCGGAGGACTGCCTCTGCAACAGATGAAGAGCAAATGGAAAGTACAAATGGAAGAACCATTTCTGATTCAAAACTACAACAAGGCCTCACATCCCTCACATGGGATATAAAAAAAAACAAGGTGGGATGCCCTAATCTGTACAGACCACCAAGCCTCTTGACCATGTGGCCCTTTCTCTCATGAATCCAGCTCCTTGCCATAAGCTGGAGTGCCTGTTTTGCCTCAAGTGGAGGAGGGAGGGAGCAGGAAGACTTGGATGTTCGTGCCCTGTATTAGCTCTTGCCCATGGGTCCTGGCCTCACCCCTTTTGACTGGCAATATGACATTTGGAGAGATGAGCAGAGAGGAGACTGTTTCTCTTTGCTCCATGCTGGACTTTTAAAGGGAGGGGGTGCAGTCAGTGATAGTCAGGGCTAGAGAGGGCCATCATGTGACCTTTCATTACATTAAGAACTCTGTACTGCCTTAATTAAGATCTTATGGCTACTTGGTATTCAGATTTCTTAATTAAAGTTTCCCAGGACTGTTACTGTAAGGATATAAAATATAATACAGGTTGTTTTCAGACTCACCCTTTCCATTTCTTTGAAGTCCTCATCTAGCTTGGTTCCTTCTGCTCCACCAACCTTCTCACTTACTTTCTGCAGGACAAAAAACAAAGAGAGATTTGGGTGAAGCTGATAATCTAGAAGTAGCTTTATTGCAAGCTTTTTGGTTTTCAGTGCTGAATTGTTTTCTTTGAAGGACATAATGGATGTGGCAAAGGTATCGGACCTCAAGCCCCATCATTTCACTTGGGAACTGCGACGATTATTGGGACTACCAGTCAACTAGGATTCACATAGGTATACAGATAGTTCTACCACAGTAAAAGAGGCAGAGTACCTTCTAGTAATAAAAGAGTTAGGGGTTACATAAAGAAACAAAAGGGTACAGCAGATGACGGTTCTAGTCTGATATCCAGAATTGTGCAGAGTACACTGAGATTACATTTCTAGTAGAAATACTGCTACCCTTTTTATGGAAGACTTGCAGCAGCCTCAGGAAGACTCTGAAGAGTGTGCAATAGCAATCTTTTAATTAATCAATTAATTACAATTTCCTTGGCAAACCTTCAGTGCCCTTTTTTGCACTCTGTACTGATAGAGACTGATTGTGTACTTTGTAGCCATAACAAGGTTAATTTCAGCAATTTCCCCACCAAACCATGTAGAATCCACTGCACATTAGATTCCTGCGGATAACATAGGTCTATCACTTGATAGTAACAGTCACTGTGTATTGGGAGAAGAGACAGAGAGCAGTATCATAAAGAAGGAACAATGTATGTTCGTAAAGAATCTGTCCAATTGGACTAACTAATTCTTAGCCAGGCAGGCCAAATCAACCCACCAGCAACAGAGATCTGTCTAGTGAAAAAAATCTAGACACATATCTTCTGGATTTTTGCTCTATGAGAGCCAAAGTAGACTTAGGAGCCTTGGAAGGCTCCAAATCACAGTTTGATTCAAGCCACTGTTGTAACTTCTGAGATGATGCAAAAACGATACCTGAATGAAACAGGCATATATTATTTGACATATATTTAGAACCAACAGAACTGTACAGATCACCACCACTACACTTCAGAGTATTGTAGGGCCATGAGTACAGAAAACTGTTAGAAAAAATAATCTCTTTGGAAATTTCGTTCTTCTAGTCTTCATTCTGCATTTGTTTATCTTTTATTTAAAAAAAAAACACCTTCCTTCATAGTTCCATCTTCAACTTTCTTTAGCAGCTTATAAAGAAGGACCAGGTTCCAGTGGGGAACCAAATTTAGTGAAACAATTTTACAAGGTCATGAAAACTTATAAACCAACACAAACAGTAGAATGCTGTGTTCAACATAGTTATCATTTGCATTGGTAAACATAATGGAAGATATTAAAACATTAAGCATCAAGACTGAAGCATTTAAAAACAGAAAACGAAAATACACACAGAGGAGATATAAAATTCATAAACCATCTTAATTTTATTTACTGTCTTAGTAAAGGTTCCCAGCTTACCTGGCTATTTTTGTGGCCTAATAAAATTGTGTCTGTCCATTCTTTATGGCATTCCTATCAGGAAGCAGGGGAATACTTTTGCCTTACTGAAAGCCAATGAATAGGTAAATCTTTCATGGCCCCTGAGTACCAAGGGCACACATAACTTCCCATATAAAGAGTGCAAAGCAGCCAGAGCCAAGCACTGTTCAGTCCACTGGTTTAATCATCTGTCTGATGTAAGTTGCTTTTGCTTCTCTATTAGGGGGAAAGAGAGGGTATAAATGAAGTAATAACTCATTTAATTGAAATCAATATGATGGAAGTTTACCACATGATTTGCCATGGACGTGGGTGACTTGAAGAGAGCAGGAGACATCTAGAATGATGCTGACAGAAAACTCGTACTGAATTCTGACAGACTGTGCAAAAGAACCCACTGGAAGACCTTTGAAGTGGTGGTGACAGCAGCAAAGATTTTACTTCTCTGCCACCACTGCACCGGCTCGTTCACAGCCATCTCAGTAGCTTAAATCATCTCAACATCTGCTAAGTCCTAAAGCTGAGCCACTATTGCCTCAGGAACAGATATTAGCTGTGATACTTTTGCCAAGGTTTTTGCTAATAAAATATCATGAATACGCTCTCATCTGGATGTTGGTTGTAACACAGGGCAGTCAGAAAAAATGCCTAATAACATTGCCTGGCCTGTTCATAGACCATTTTGACTGAGTTTCCATGATGGATGCTGATGGGATACTCAGATCTGTGAAGGGGAATGAATGAATGTTTATTTGCAGTCAACAACCATTAACAACCATTTACAAATAGTTACGGCAATCCCAAGTAAAACAAGAGTCCCATTAAATTCCAACATGTAGGATGTAAGCTATAATAATACATTATACCATTTAAAATGTACTTTAAAATAATTAAAATCTTTAAAATAATGTCAGAAAGAGAATAGAGATGGACCCGTACATTGTATGGCTCTATTACTTACTACAAAATGTCATCACATGAACACAGAACTTGGCTATTTTCCTGGAGATAGTTGGGTTCTCATCTATTAAATTTCTCCAGGCCTTATCCACAAAAACTGTTGGTCTATCTAAGAGGGGAGAAATAATCTTGTCCCGTACTTCTTCATAAAAGGGGCAACAGAAAAAAGACATGTTCCAGGGATTCCACTTCACCTACAGTGCAGGGACAAACTCTTTCTGCATATGGGATCTTTTTATATCTCCTTTCTGATAAATGCTCTCCTATAAGAGTGAACATCTAATTGGCTATGATATTGGGCCATGGTCATAACATGTCTAAGCTTCATGGGAGCCATAAAGTTTGGTGATTTCATTAAATCTTGTTGGCACTCTATGTCTCTTTCTTTGTTTAATAATGCACTTTGCCTGATCTTTATTCTGAACCAAAAGTGCACAGGGCAAAAGTCCCATTCTTTCTAAATTGCTCTCAACCATTCACATCCCCCTGGGCTGGTAGAGGTCTTGTGTTATTAGGGGAAGGAGGCCTTTTTGATTTGTGTAAAGCTTAAGCCACTGAAAAGCGGATAATAACAAATTCTAGCCTCAATTCTCATTTAGCCTGTTTCTAAGTGGAGGAAGGCATTAGACACACCTGGAGGTACCTGTAAAATAGCAAGAAGAAACTTAGGTTGAATCTACATTTCAATTTTTAAATCAGTTTCGTGCTGTATTTGCATTTTTAAATCAGTTTCGTGCTGCTGTGACACTGTTTTTCTCTATGTTTGACAGCATCACAGCAGCACAAAACTGATTTAAAAATGCAAATGTAGATTCGACCTTAGATTGTGTGCTGGGTTTGGCTGGCCACCACGGATACTCTTCACTGAAAGCTGGATACGCAGTCCAAAATCAAGCTGAGAAACTGAGCCGAAGGTCAGAAAGCCAGGAAATCAGTCAGAGTTTTCAGGAGTGAGAAGTGGAGGCTGACAGCCGGGACTAGGTGCGAGAATGCATGGCTGCTTCTGAGGCAGGTGAGCAGGATTGTTTATGACCAGATCCTCCCTTCCCTGGGAGTCAATCTGCAAAGACTCACAGCCCCTCATGTTGCCTTTGCAACAGCTGAAGTCTGGCACTCCTCCTTCTCTCTTGCACATTCAGACGTTGGCATGCCCTGTGTCTGGGACAATCAGGTGAGCTAGGTGGGGATTCTGGCCTTGGGGTGTCTCCAAATGGGGTTGGCTGGGCCAGGCTCTGGATCAGTCTCCCCCTCTGACTGACCCTCAGTCTCTTTGCCTTGCTGCCCCTCCTGTGCAGCTGCTGGGGCCTCTTCTCCCTCAGGTGCTGCTAAAGGTTTCTCTTCTGGGCTGACTCCAGAGGAGGCTGGGTTGCTCCATGCCTCTTCCTCATCTGAGGAATAGTCAGCCTCAGTGGGGCCAGGACCCATGACAGATTGTTTCTTCTTGAGGGAACACAAGCTAGCAACAGGGATGCCCAAATAAATACCATAGAGGAGCTGTGTTATTACTATAGCTTGATATAGCTTCAAAGCTGCTGGAATATATAAACCCCCCTTGGGAAAAAAACACAGTTCTCTCAGTGTGGTCAACCATCAACTCACAGTGTGCTGTATTGGACCCAGTCTCCTGCAATACTACCCTCAGGTAAGTGAATTTGCTTACTTGTTCAATTTTGTTCCCCTTTATCATCCAGGATCACATTTTTGGATGCTTGCCGAATGCCATCACTTTGGCATTCTACTTGTGCTCTGGATCCTTGCCCATCCTGGCAGCTAAAATCATGCAAGGAGCCCTTAGAGTCTCTCATAAATCAAAAACTAACTCAGGGCACCTTCCCTCGACCACTCAAAGTGGCAATTATCTGTTCACTACTTTTTTTAAAAAACCATCGCCACAGAAAAATGATGTGGACAATTATCATTCAGTCTCTAATCTGCCATTTCTTGACAAATTGATTGAGAGAGCTGTAGAAGACCAGCTCTTACTGGATAACTCATCTGCTCTAAATCCTTTTCATTCTGGTTTCAGGCTGGGCTATGGGACAGAGACAACCCTGGTAGATTTAGCTGATGACCTCCGTCTGAATGTAGACAAAGGCTATGCCTCTGTATTGCTCTGTTTCACATTTCTGCTTGGTTTCAAATTTTTGCAATCAAAATCTTATTGCCTTTGTTACTTGATGTCCTGTCTTATTGACTGTATTGACTTACACTATATGATCTACCTTGAATCTCACTGAGAAGGGCAGACTACAAAGAATAGAAATGAATTAAAGTGCAGTTGGGTTGTGCTACCAGTGCTTTGAAATCTACAGCCAGAACATTTATTCTGTATTAATGAACAAAATTAGTTCTCACAGTTACTCATTCAGATTAGCATAATTGTCACAATTGGATAATTAAAGGCATTAAGCAAAGATTAAAACATCTAATAACCAAACTTCTTAAAATACAGGACTGCAGCCTTTAACTATTCTAAATGATGGGTAGATACAGATGTGTGGTAAAATCCTCATTACCAATTGGTAAACTGATATATAGGCTTAGAAGTCAATGGGCTTAGAAAATACAGCCTATACTAATAACTTGTTCCTATTCAGAAAATCGAGGCT